AAACCCAATGTATTGGGCATTTGCATGCATTCTTAGATTCTTAGATGGTGATAAGCTGATATAACTTTAATGTAATTGGTCAGTATATTCTGAGACCGTTAGCATGTTTATACCTCTTGACTGAGCTACTTCCACTTCAAAGAGACAGAAACATGGTTGATAAACATCTAGTGCTGAAATTCTGGATTATTTTTATTTTTATCCTTTTATATACTTTTAATTTTTATACAGTATACATATGTATAATAACCCATTTTAAAATCGAAATATAATCTATCAATTTTGCATGAAAACCTTGAACACCCTAACAATAAAACTCCTAGGAAAATAATTAAGAGCTGTATTAGTGCAACCGAGAAGCTGTACTAGATACAGCCAAACCCACAGGGCAAATGATCAGATCTGCTTGAGGTAGGTCAAGGAATGCTGTGCCAACCGGAAGATTCAGCTTATCAAGAGGATAGTAAGGAGGGAACGATACTCATTTCAAAGGAAAAAAAAAACTTACACTGGCATAAAATAGTGTTCCTCAAAGTATGACACAAGTGTATCTCCTAATCATCTGGAGTCATTGTTTGTAATGTACATCTTTGCCAACTCAAACCCACTAAATCAAAACTCCTGGGCGTGGGGCATAGGAGCCTGCCTTAAGCCTGGCTCCCTGGATGGTTCTCATACACAAAATTTGTTAACTACATTACAAAAAACCAAAGCAGTATGACATTCTTTGGAAATTGACCATAATTTGGTGCAAACTGAATTGTAGCTTACAGGTGTTGGTGGAATGGTGGGAGATAAATCTGGAGAGGAATGTCATGGTCCACTTGTAAGAAGTCTTAAGTGGCACACTAGGAACTTTGACAGTTAACATGAAGATCCAATAGGAAACCACTGAAGAGTTTTAAGAGTAGTAACCTGATATGATTTTTTTTCCCCCAGAAAGATTACTCTGGCATCAGTGTGGATGACTGGATAGGGAGCAGACAGGCAAGAAGGCAACTTGGGAGAATGTATTAATTTTCCTGGAATAAGACAGCAGCATTAGCGTAGACTTGAACACATACGCTTGGTGACCAATTGAATACTGAGTGAAGGGAGAAATAATTTGGGATGAATCCAATTCCCACATTTGCTTGCCTCTATTCTAGACTTAGAATATCTAGACAAAGAATATCTTAAAACTACAAGCTGTACTTTTCTACCTTTGCTTATTTTTATCACAAGACCTATATTTTACTGGAAACATGAAGCCTATAAAGATAAGCTTGTACAGCCTCTATAATAATTAAGGACAGACACTCCAGAGGACATTCTCTTACTGAATAATATCGTTAGCTAAATGTCTACAAGGCTGTCAGCAGAGATAGGATGTATACTTAGAGATACTGTGATACAGGCAATCTTAAAGGCTTCATGGCAGTTTCTGTGGTTCAACATGGGACAATGTGTGTGCATAGAGAAGCAATGAGTGGTGGTCCAGAGTAATTTTTTTTTTCAGTAAAAGATTATTTTATTAAAAGCCAGCCCATTCTTTTTTGTGTCATTTTGTGTCCCACAATGAGACATTCCTTTTAATCAGTCTGTCTGGTAAAACCACAGCAGTGACTTGTCTTCAGGCTGATTGGGGCAAGAAGGAATTTCCCTTAGACTGCAGGATGACCTACGACAGCTTTATATATTTCCTCATTAAAATAACATGGCAGACGTTTGGGGTATTAGAAAATTGTTTTCCAGAGGCTCTAGTTCCTACCCAACCTGAACAGACAGCTACAGCTTAGGCTGAATGTAGGCTGAGCAATCTCCTGAGGTCTTTGGCTGCAGGGGAGTTAAAGGGAGCAAATACCAAATCAAGCTTCCCTGTAGCACCAGGAACCCCCAGAATTCCCAAAGGCTCTGTATCACTCACTGGACAATCCCAGAGCACATAAGATCCTTCTGTTGTAATCATTCTAAAAACCACCAAAAGTAGTCCAAATACAGGCCTTACTCAACCCAAAACCTTTTAATGATACGCTGCTTTTTGGTTACGTCCCATATAGAAGCTATAAAAGCACTCTTCCCACTCCTTTTAAAAATGTCATTGGTTTCTTGGAGAACCTAATGTATCTGTCCTATAGAGTGTCCAGCGTTATGGATTTGGCCGATTGACCTTCCCTGGCTTATTGTAAATTGTGCCTTTATCCCCAATATTGCCTCATGATCTGGCAATATGATAGTGAGATCTAGAGGTTTGATTAACTTCAGGTTCAATTTTTTCTTTTTCCTTTCTGCAAGATTCCTTCATGAGGAGGAGGTGTGCATTACTTATTGCATCATATCAAGAAGCAAATGTCTATTGGCACATTTTTATTAATGTTAAAATTATCCATGGATTCAGAGATGTAAGCCTAATTTCTCCATCAGCCTTTCATGCCATGGTTTTAGCATCCACAGATGATCATTACCCAGATGTATACTTTTCATTAGAACTATCTTCTAACATTTTAGTGCGTGTGGTAGGTGAGATTCTTCTGTGAATAACTTCCATATATTAGTTAGTTTCCTGGTATAATTTTAAGGATAAACAAAAAAGGATAAATGCTTTATTCTTTCTGTTAATTTATCATTTTTCAAAGTAATGAGGGAGTGCCCTAGCAACCTCCAAAAGTGACCAAGGAGCTGTATATGTGTGTGTAATTATTAACTCGTTTTGTAATCATTTTTATATATTTATATATATTGTAGTCATTATTTGTTTTGATGTTCATAGTGCCTCATTTTATTTATTTTTTTTACGATTTTATTTATTTTTTGAGAGAGAGAGAGAGAGACAGCGAGAAAGGGAACACAAGCAGGGGAGTGGGAGAGGGAGAAGCAGGCTTACCCCAAGCTGGGATCATGACCTGAGCCGAAGGCAGACGCTTAACGACTGAGCCACCTAGGTGCCCCCATCTTGCCTCATTTTAGATCACTGAAAGGCCCCTTAATGTTACTCTCCTGTTTTTGTAACATGATTCAAATAGCTTCCTTGCTATCTGGAATAAGATGGCCCAGGTTCATCTTATATATTTCCTGTCCCAGACCTGGATTCAGTGATTTTTCCTAAGAGACCTGGTTCCTCTTAATGAGAAATCATAGTTAGAGACCACAATCTGAATGGGAGGTGTACTTACTGGATTGCCATTGCTTCAAGGACTTTTCAATGACAGAGTGGAAACTACTTTTTTTTTCCCAAAGAGAAAATAAATTTTGATTTCATGCTAATATTTATATTCCAATTTAAAAGTTAAAGATTTTTTCTTAATTTCTTAATTTCATATTTTACTCTTAACACTGAAAATCTTGACTTCTAAAGAAATAAATTCTTATATTTTCTTACAGAATATATAGTATAATGTAGCATTCTATGTAAGCTCAAAATAACAATGTCAATATTACTAATAAGGCTACTAAATGTATTTTCAGATTTCTTCACAATTTATTTGATCCTTAGATTATATCCCTTAAAAGATAGTCAAAATACTGCCTTTGAAAGTCACCAGAAATAATTACGTATTCTCTCTGTAGTTAGGCAATTATCTGGTATTCATTTGGGTTCAATTGTTTTGGTTTGTTTCCAATTGTAGAAGGAATGCTTTCTATTCTTTTTAATTTTGCTTTCTTATTATGCAAAATGTTTATATGGTCTAAGATCACAAGTATATAATAAGGTATATTCACATAAATTTTATCTCCATGCCTGTCCCATCCTATTTCTTCCTTCCTGCTGTAGGTAACTATTTTTAGTATCTTTATGTCCTCTGTGATGTGTGTATTTATTCATGTTCTAGACCCTTTTTTAAAATGTATTCTGAGGATCAGATGATATCCGTACATAGATATTTTGCTCATTCTTCATCCATTTCTTCAATCCCCTACTGATGACTATCTGGTTGGTTTCCAGTTTTTGATTGTTCCAAATAATACATCAATGAATGTCCTCAGGAATATACCATTTTGTATTTTTGTCACATTACCTTTGGGATAGATTTTTTTTTTTTAAGATTTTATTTATTATTTGAGCGAGAGAGAGCACAAGCAGGGGGAGTGGCAGGCAGAGGGAGAGGGAGAAGCAGACTCCCCACCAAGTGGGGAGCCCAGTGTAGGGCTCGATCCCAGGACCCTGGGACCATGACCTGAGCCGAAGGCAGACGCCTGACCGAGCCACCCAGGCGCCCCTGGGATAGATTTTTTTAAAAGAGGGATTGCTCCAGTGAAGGGCAAATGCACTTACAATTTTGCTAGATTGGGGGTATATTTTAAATATATTGATCTTGCCGTGGAATTGTAGGAATTTTTAAAAATATTTCTATTACAGAGAAAAAAACTTTAACTGGAATGATCATATTTATCAAGAATAATTCACTAGTAGAATTTACATTACTAAATTCATGGTCTGTAATTTAAGTGAATGCCTTGAACAGTTCAAAAATTTTAACAATTTTAGTAGTTTCCAATCTAAATATCTTTGGAAGTAATGTAAGATCTGTATGTATAAACAAATATATACATGTGAGTGAGGATGGATGGGTGGAAAGGTAGATGAAGAGAGAGAGAGAATTTTATCCTCAGAAGAAAGCATTCTGATTTTAATAAATTTACTAACTTCTTATTCAAAAAAGTTATTTTATTATCTTCTAAATGACACAGTAGATAAAGAAGTTAGTCATGTCTACATAACAGCACTTGTAATATTTTCTAAAGTGTTGGTAAATCTGCAAGTTCGTTTCCTTGGACCTAAAATATAATCCAGCTTTTAAATGCAAAATAAAATGTATTTGTTGGTCCTTTTTATGATCATATGTGTTAAGAGAACATGACTATATTGTCTTATGCTTTTCAGTTACTATCACCTTCTGAAATCAGGAAGAACAACTCCAAGAACTGGGTGAATCATATTTGCTTTTATATCTTATGCACAGCAAGAATTCAATTACGTTAAAATATATGTGAACAGTAAATTAAAAATAATAGATTCACATTTGAATAGCAGCTAGTTATGTGTAAAAATACACAAAAAAGTAACTTGTAGCAATAAAAACTGGTGTATAAATCATTCATGATTCATTTCCCCATATCACCGTATTATTCTTCAGATATAACCATAGAGGCAATAGCTCCACGAGATGACATATAGGGAAAAAGGTTAAAATTACTTCTTCCAAGTTTTCACCCTTCTATGAGCAAAGACAATCTTTGGCATCTTCTTATTCTTTTGCTTCCTCACCGCTAAAGTCGACAAAATAAAAATAAATATCATATGTCTCCAGTCCATAGACTCACTTTAAGTCAACATTTCCAATATGCTTACACACTCACCTCAACTACTTTTAATGATTATAAAGTCAGTTTTACTCACTATCCACTCAAGTTAATAACTTTCTACCTTTAAAATGCAAGGATACGGCTGCGGTCTGTTGGAGCAGCATTTAACAAAATCGATCAGTACTAAAGTGCTATTTATGTAGAAGTGGTCTAGAAATGGCAATATGCTATTAGGAAAATGGATATATAAAATATAATTTTACTTACGAATTATTTATAAAATTAGTTTAAAAATTGAATAAGAAAAAAAAAAATCTACCTTTCATACAAGCATGTGTGCAGTCCTCCATGTTAACAAAGTTATTGTCATTCCCTCCACAACCAGTATAGGTGAAGGTCTCACAGGCTTTGTGTCTTGGATTAAAATAATAGCGAGTCACATTAGCAGAGCATAGTCCCCCATCTTTTGGACTGTGACAATATGACGGAACTTGATGAAAAGGAAGACAAAATTAGAAATGCAATAATACCAAAATTAATAAACTATGATGATTACTGAAGTAACTGAAGAAAATCTAATCCCACTGAAGCTTCATTCTGAACTCAAAATATCATACTAAACCATTTAAAAAGTGTGTCTCAATTTCCAAGAAAGCTTACATGCTCTAGTTTGTTAATTGTAAAATTTTTATAAAGTGGAGAGAATTTCTTCTGAAGCTATGTCCTTGTATCATTTGAATGTGTTAAGAAATTAAACCCAAGAAACAGATATGGTCAGGTAGAAATCGGCTGGGTTTCAAGGGTTGACATGCTTTAGTAAACGTTCTTGTGTTGGTATGTTTATTTTAAATGTTTTTATCAGCTCTCCTTCCATCATTAATCAAGAATACATTTATGTAATTCCCAAGTAGCCACTGGAACATTTACCTTTACACAAAAAATTTAAGGAAACACAAGCAACAACCATTTTCTCATTAACACAAGATTTTGCACACAGTGTAGCTATAGAGCTTCCTCAGATCTCGGCCAAAGCAAGTTTTCCTTGTTTGTTAAGTTTGTGTATCTTTGTGTATGTGTGTCTCCGCTATGCCTAGGGAAAATGCCTGTATTGTCTCTCTCTACGAAAGTATTGCCCAAGTAAGCCATCATTTCAGGGACTGAGGGGGTGGGGATATAGATAAGAAATCAGAGCAGAAAAAGGAAGGATAGAGAGGTCTTTGTCCTGCAGTTTGCAGTTACTAAAGGATGCAGAAATCTAGCTGAAAACTTTAGACAGAAATTATCAAGATTCACCATCTGAGGTCTGTATATATTCCACTATCTCCTATACACAGTGATTCCTTACAACCCTGAGGTCATGGCATTCAGAATACTGTGATTTATTTTAAAGGTTTTATTTAGTTGAGAGAGAGAGCAAGAGGGGGTGGAGGGGGCAGAGGGAGACGGAGAGAGATCATCTCCACGCTGGGCATGGAGCCCACCTTAGGGCTCAATCCCAGGACCCTGAGATCATGACCTGAGCCTAAATCAAGAGTTGGATGCTTAACCGACTGAGCCACCCAGGCACCCCCAGAATACTGTAATTTTTGTGTGTAAATTAAGTAAATGAGGAATAGTTCTAAAGAAACAATCCAGAACAGGAAGCAAAAACTTCCTAGCCCTGAGACTTCCTAGCCCTGAGAACTTGGCAAGTCATTAACTTCTGGTAGCCTGTACTCTCATATGTAAATGGGAAAATAATAATACTCCCTCACAGGGCACATATACATAGTAGGACTGATATCCTACTATATGTGAAATCATCAGAACACAAGGCATGTTAATTATACATCAAATCATTTATCTTTTCACCCTAAAATCTTAAAGAAATGAAATAGAAACCCCATAAAAATAGTATTTACTTTTCTTTGGTGCACAGAAGCCCATACAAGTATCCTTGTCCGGGAACCTGTTCTTACTGCTGTGACACCCGCCAGATACGAATTTTTCACATGTCATGGAACTTAGATTGAAGAAATACTGTCCTGTGCGCGCTCCACACTGCCCCTCACTGACTTCCAACCTGCAAATTTTGGGAACTTCTAGGAAAAGGAGGGCATAAAACAATGCTAGTCAAAAATTAGCTTTCTTAGTATTACTTACTTTTGGTAAGTAATACTTAGTATTACTTCAAAACTTTACTGTATTTTCAGAAACAACTAAGGAGAAAACAGTATCACATTTAGTACTGGGATAGTAAATCCCCAAAAGACTTTTCCTTAATCCAGTTATTCAGCCCTTTTTTTTTTTTTTTAATAGTGGCTCCAGACCTGAGTCAGCCAAATTCAGTGGAAATTCTCTCTCTTCTCTCAGGGTATTCTGATTTTTCTACATATGAAGTTAATCAAACTTATTCACAGGAATACATACACAGTTTTCCTTGGCTTAGTTCCTTGAATGGCAAAGTCCCATGTTTTGTTACTGGCCTTAATAAATACAATAAATATGATTAAAATGAAATAGAAACCAGGATCATGAATCTCTACTATATCCCTGTACTAACCCAAAACAAGTTTAGGTGTCAGGGGACAAAAGGAAAAGTTAGTTAGCTAAATCACACTTTAACAATAAAATCCGCTGAAAGTATTTCAGATTGATAGGTAATTGACACGAGGAAATGGTGCTCTCGAAGAGGCATAAAAACCATAGGCTTAGAACTAGTGATAAAGAAAAGTACCTATGTGGCACCCAATAATACATCATACTCCTGCATCATTATGCCCTACGGTGAACTCTTGCTCTGAGTCTGCGCGGACTCTGAATTATGATAAATGCCACTTAGGAGAGAAATTTGTTAGCCAGTGTATAAGTTAGCCTTATTTAATGTTTGAGAAAATGCAGGCTAGAACTTACTGCGGAAAATGGGATCTGGGAAATTAAGTTACTAGCAGCCCTTCTGTGTAAGGAGCCGCGCAAGAATTCTGAGCTTGAGCACGGCCACTTACTCTCTATCCTCCAGCAAGCTTCATTGCAGTCCTCCAAAGTTTCGAAATTGTTGGCGTTGCCCTGGCAGCCCCCGTAGAAGAACATGCGGCAGCTCTGCGTGTACCTGTCGTAGTAGTTAACTGGGGATCCGGGCCCGGCACGGCCCCACGTCGGGGGACAGGAGGCAGATCTCTGCCTTGTTTCCTTTTGGAGGAGCAGGGGAGCCTGAGAGGGGGAAGGAGGTCAGCCACGTCTCCGGGAAGGTAGAGGCTTCCCAGGGACTTCTGTCCCTCCGTTTCCCAGCCCAGGGGGGTTTGCCCAGAGAGAAAGTACAAACTTCGGCACGAGTGTCCCTTCCCGCGGCTCCTAGACGTGCCCTGTGCAACAGGGGCCCGGGGCAAGCGGGGCGGAGAGAGCGGGTGTAGGGGACCCCACAGCCTCAGTGCCCACGCTGCCTACCGTGGGGCGGAAGCCCGGCGCAAAGAGGGGGTCCCGGACCCGCCACTACCTGGCGCCTCCTGAGCACCGTTGCCCAGCGCGGTCCCGATCAGGAGCAACGGCAGAAGCAACAGCCCGAGGGGGCAAGTAGAGTCCATGCTGTCTGGTTTGAGTGGCCCTCGGGGCGAGGCGTTCCTTGAATGTGCCGGCAGGAAGAGGGTGCACGGAGTCCAGCCTCCAGGCAGCCTGGGTGCCGATGTGGTGGGTGCCTGCTTTATGTAGGGTGAGTGTCCTCCCGACCCCGGACGGGGCGGAGCGTGCCTGTGCAGAGCCCGGGAGGCTGATTCATGCCCCACAGGCTGTGACCCGCCGCAGCCCTGTGTTGGAAAGTGTGCGGGGGAGAGGAATTCCCCACCAGGTTGAACCTGCCTCCCAAACTTTCTCCTATCTTGGCCAGAGTGACTAGATGCGGCATTGTGACAGTGATGGGAAGTCGGCAAGCTAGAGGGAAATGACCTGGGGGTGATTGCACAAGGTTCCAACTTGCAGCATCACTTCATTATGAAAGCAGAAGTCCAAGTATTTGAAGGGCAGAGACAAAGTGTGAAATTCAGTGGACTGAGGGGAGCCTGGCTCCTTGCAATAGATTCCTTTATTAGATTAGAAATTTAAGTATGTGTATTTATTTACATTTATACATACGTACATATTTCAGTCGAGATTTAATTTAATAAAAGGCTCATAATGTATCTTAAGTGTACAGCACCATTCCAATCAAGAATTAGAACACTTGCAGCACCCCAGAACATTCTCTCATACCCTTTCCCAGTCAATCCTTCCAATCCCAGGCAGGGGCAACCACTTCTTACCACAGGAGATTGGTTTTGCCTGTTCTTGAATCTCATGCAAATGAAATCATAAAGTGTATATTGTTTGTACTTCTTTTGCTCCACTCCTGTTTTAAAGACACACGATGTTACTGCATAGTTCATTTCTTTTAAATGCTGAGTCCATTCTTCCAATGTATGAAGGTACTACAAATGTCCTGTTACTGGACATTTGTGTTGTTTTTAGTGTGAGACTGTTGTGAATAAAGCTGCTTTGTGCATACATGCAGCTTTTATTACTCTTGGGTAAAATATCACGTTAAAAACTGCCACTTTTCCAAAATGATTATATCATTTTATACTCCCCCGCCCCCATCAGCTATGTGTAAGTATTGTGGCTCTGTTTTTTTGAGCTGGAACATGAAAGTCCATAGAAAGGTGGCCGTAGGGGATTCCAGATCAATCCCTTCCTGCACGTTTCCTAATTGTCAGTGCATTAACGTTCATTGTTACTCTGACATATTAGCCTGAGTCTAACTTTTTCTTTATACAAAGCAAATTATTTATGCTTGGATTTCACATGAAATATTGAAGCTCTTTTTGGCGAACATTTTAATAAATTCTCTTGATGACTGTGTCTTCCTCCCCTTTTTCCTCTTGTTGGATTTTCCTCTTGTTGTATTCTCAAGAGAATAATTATTCCTGGCTTCTCCTGAGGATCTGGAAGGAGTTTACAGGAGTTCCCTTCAAAGTTTCTGAGAAACCCTATGCTCACAGTGAGTTAATAGTCTGGGACATTTTGGGGCGCCTTGGGTGGCTCAGTCGTTAAGCGTCTGCCTTCGGCTCAGGTCATGGTCTCAGAGTCCTGGGATCGAGTCCCACATCGGGCTCCCTGCTCAGCGGGAAGCCTGCTTCTCCCTCTCCCACTCCTTCTGCTAGTGTTCCCTCTCTCTGTGTGTCTCTCTCTATCAAATAAATAAATAAAATCTTAAAAAAAAAATAGTCTGGGACATTTTGCACACTCTATCCCTTGTGCCAGTTTTCAATTATCCTGATGTCATGCCATAGAATCCTATTCCTAAGAAAACTAGCCTGTCCTGGAAATATTCAGTGTTACTGATGCTGTCAGATTACCAGCTATCTATGATTAACAGTCCAAGATGTAAGGACAAATGTTTAATAACCAGCTCTCACGAAGAGGGGGAGGATAAGAGGGGGTATGCTGATTTGTATAGTTTACTGATTTCCGTGTTGTAAGTACTCCCATTATGGCCAATTTCAAGCTACCAGAATTGGAAATAGGTAGGTACAATCGGTTCACCAGAGCCAGACTGAACTGGCTCTATAGCATGCCAACCACTGAAATAGCCAGCTAGTTTTGGAAAGACGCATTCATGGAAGAATCACATGAGCCCCTCCCAAACATTAATAGGGGAGGGAAGTTTTACCAAACAGCCAGCATCACTTTCAGGAGAAAAGTTACTTCAACTTCAAATTTTCATTCTTCTGAATATGATTTTCATTCTTCTGAATATGATTAAATATATCTCCCATATGGACTAAAATAAATTCAAGGACTGATTCAAACTTGTCACTCAGCATTGACTATTGTCACTTTTGTTCTTTGTTCTCAGGTGCTGGTACTTTTTGATCATCTTTTGCTTCATATAAAAAGAGGAATCTTTTGTTTGTTTTAAGATTTTATTTATTTGACAGACAGAGACATAGTGAGAGAGGGAACACAAGCAGGGGGAGTGGAAGAGCCCCTCGCTGAGCAGGGAGCCCAATGCGGGGCTCGAACCCAGGACCCTGGGATCATGACCTGAGCCGAAGGCAGACGCTTAACGACTGAGCCACCCAGGCGCCCCAAAAAAGAGGAATCTTTTGAATTAGAGCAGGCAATTTTGGGAAATTGCATGATGCAATGGGAAAATGAATGGTATTCCTTGCTCCTTTGGAGAGTCACATAAACTCTCTGAGCCTCAGTTTCTTTATCTGTAAAATGGATATAATGACTGTACTTTACATGGGTGTTATGAGGATTAAAGGCCAAGCGCCTAAGCACTCAAAGGGTTGGGCTTCAGCGGCTTACACACAGACACAGACTCCAGCCTGATTATCCATGTTTTGATTCCCATTGAGAGCCTTTGCACAAAACTTGAAGATGGAGTGTCAACCACAGTCAGGAAACAGCACCGTGAACTGGCCTTGTAGGACTGAAGCCTGCGACATTGCTCTCACCAACTCTCCTCTTTGGCTGAGCTCAGAGGCCACCTCTCTGCCTAGGAAACTGTCACACAGTCAGATATAACTTCATGATGTTTTTTTCTGGGGAAATGAGCTTAGGGTTCTTTCAGCCACAGCAGAGTCCTTAGTCCTGCTAAGGACTCAGGATGCTCTGGAACACCTGGAGGGGAAGGAGAATGGGGAAAGGGCCAAAATCAGGCTTTTTACCCCTCTGTGGTATAGAGTCTGTGGACACAGGGCAAAATTCATGTTCAGAGGTACTCCAGAAATGTTAACTTCCTTCCTTTATTCTATGCCAAATAGGGTGCATCTTTAACACCCCTGTGACAGGGAAGGAGAATTCAACAAGTGGGGACAGTTAGAAGTTTGAAATGACCAGGCCAAGTTATCAGGAAGGAAATTACACCTCTTAATGGCAAACCACTTGAGTATTTTTATATCCATGAAAAGGATATCTTCCAATGTAAGGGGAATCTAAATTTTCTGGGACTACTTTAAATTACTGAATTTATCCTTAGGACCATGTGGAAGGAGCCATGTGACCACTGCAACCAGCCTCCATAGGGATGTCACAGTACTTCTGTATCCTTAAACCAGTATCTAGGCCAAAAGGTTACCACATAGCAAGGGAAAAGAATTCCTTTATCCAAAGTCAACAGGAAGTGCAAGGCTGGAGGGAACTGCAAAGAACAGTCATCCAGATTGATTTGTCATTGTTACACCAAGTAATAGCTTTAGTGGCTATGGCTAAAAATTGAGGTTCAAAATAGTTTGGAGTTCTGTGAAATAAGGCCGGGAGTTCTTATAATTTGAGTGTTGAAGGAACTATAGATATCGTCTATTCCACTATTTTCATTTTACAGAATTATACATTGAGACCTGGTCATGTTTACTTACCTTAGTTGTTGGCAGAGCTGAGACTAGGACCGAGGTTCTTGATATTCAGCCTTGTATTCTTCCTAACATTCCCATACCTGGACTCTTTCTACTGTACCGAGACCTTAGAGCAGAACAGTAAATACCAGAATGAAAACACACAGAGGCTACAGTGATTTCAGGAACACCTGTGCATGTGTCAGATCCGTGCTTCTGTTCTTTCTCACCAACCCACTCCCAGCCCTGTAAAAAAAAAAAAAAAAAAAAGGGATGCCTGGGTGGCTCAGTCGGTTAGGCGTCTGCCTTCGGCTCAGGTCATGATCCCGGGGTCCTGGGATCGAGTCCCACGTCAGGCTCCTTGCTGAGCAAGGAGCCTGCTTCTCCCTCTGCCTGCCCCTGTCTCTCTCTTTCAAAAAAAAAAAAGATATGAAGTTGATTTGGAACACATTAGCTCCTAGAATTTCCAAGTCTCGGTATGATGTTCTATCTTCTGAGAGCCACACATGCTTGGACAGTGATCGTGAATTTAAGGGGAGGATTGAGGCAGATGGTCGTCTTCTCTGTCAGACACCTTAGAGAGAGGTGGCATGTTTAGCTCATAAATGAATGAGGAGAGTTGATCCCCAGTAATTTGGGGATATATATTATATAACATAGTCACTTACCGAGTTACATTGATAACTCCCCAATAAACAAAATTCTCACTGCCTGCTAGCTTAAGCCAAAATAAAATCTGAAGTGAGTCCAGCTGGCACGACCAAGAACTTTACACATTTGATAAGAAAGGCAGTCCATCTCTTCTGAGAGATTAGGGATCACGAGGATTTTGTTCAAGTTTAGGCAACTCCTTCACCGACAAGGTGTTTTTCAAGTGAGTTGGGTCACCTAGGAAATGTTTGCTCTAGTGCGCCCTCTGTCGGAAAACAGAGTGCATCTGTGAGCATTGTATAATAAGGCGGAGCCACGTAAGACGATGAGACATTCTCTATGCCTAATTTTATTATTATTATTCTCCTTAGGGGGAATGATATAATGGGGTATTTAATGTGTCTCTTACCGTGGTCATTTTTTCATCCATATATTTTTAAAATAAGCAGAATTACTATTTAATATGTGCCAAACCTGGTGCTAGGCGTTTGGAACACAAAGACAAATAACATGTAGGGATCTCATAGCACAATAGAGTAGACAGATGAGCATTATGTAACCCAATTGCAATATAGTGTTTTTAGTACAATATTAAGGATATGTACTAGGTTTTATGGGATCATAGAGGAGGAAATAAAATTTTAGCAAGCGCTCAGTTCTGAACAAAAGCCAATCTACACAAACAGATCTAACATTATATCTTTTATGCCTGTGGGACACAGAGACTCACTCCTTCAACAGCTGGTTGCTTTGGTCGGTTTTTT